CATGATCCAGGTAAAATACAACCTTTGTGCATCTACCACCATACCAACCTAGATGCTAACTAAACAAACTGCTTTAGTTACTGCAAAGTTAAGAATTCCAACTCGATGGGCATGTAGCATATGATGAGGCAAGGGAATCTCTGAGTTCCTAGCCAGCCTCATCTACACAGCAAGTTCCAGGCAAGTCAGAGCTACATAGTGAGAGCCTGCCTTAAAAACAAACAAACAAAAGGTAAGTTGGGAGCTAAGAGTTCAGTGGTAGCCCATCTGTAGCATGTGGGAGGCCCTGGGTTCAGTATCAACCTTAAAAAAAAAAAAAAAATTAACAGAGACTGCCTTCATATCTACCTTTAGTAAGCTTAATTCAGGACTAAATGGAAGGATGTGTTAAAGAAAAGCAAGATTAGCAGGGACAATGAGTGCACACAAAACAATTAGGCCTGAAGTAAGACTCACATGGCATGTGTTTATTGAAAAAAATAAAGAGGAAAGAGATAAGGGAGATCAGGTAAATTTACAAATAATTAACCAGAGAAGTCTTTCAGGTACACAGCTGGCTACATACAGAAGGCAGTTGTACATTCAGATCCCAAGTGAGTATGCTAACTCAGTAAGGGTAGAGATATGTCATTATGCTAATTAATTATAGGGAGGAAAAAGCATAGATAAGCTCAATATCATGTATCTGTAGGCCAGCCAAGTGAATACACAGTCTGAGCTGAAGACAGGGATCTGAGATGTATCCATGCATGACAGCTAAGCCCAAGGCACAAGTTCAGGAAGTCTCCCTGGAGGTTTATCCAGGAACTTATCCAGCTAACATTTACATAGCACTTATTTAACATCCAATGCAGTAGACACTGTATCATTTTATATGGTGGGGCATTTAAAGGACAAGAACTAGAAGAGATTAAAGGAGAACCAGAAGCAAGTAACATCTGGAGAAAATATGAGAGGATTGGAAGAGAGTTTCTCTAGGGTCAGTATAATGGAAAATTGAAGTGGAGAACACACAAGGAGAGTGGAACATGGGACAAATATTTCACAATGTAGTTAGAGACTTACAAATAGCTATGTGTACAGTTAGTTTCAAGGACAAATATATCAGACAGGATTGCAAAATGTGTTGAGGAAGTGAAAACAATGATCACAGGACTAGTCTTGCAAGAGGTTCAACAGTGACAGAAACACATACTGAAGTTTGCTAAGCCAGTTCCTTTTGCATTGCTGAGCACCACTATATCATTAACATTTGCACCCCTTATAAGACAGGGTTTCGCTATGTAGCCCAGACTGGCCTGAACCTCACAGAGATCCTCCTGCCTCTGCCTACTAGGTGCTGGGATTAAAGGCATGTGCCACCACACCCAGTCTCATTTTGAAAGATGCAGAGGATTTGTGACAGTAGAAATATCTTCTTTCTAGGTGACAAAGTTGACTGAACACTATTTTTAAATGTAACACATGGAGGCCAGGGAGATGGCTCAGTGGATAAACTTATCACAAAAGCCTGTTGATCTGAGTTGGATCCCTGGAACCCACACAAAGGTGGAAGGAGAGAAAGAATCAATGCCACAAAGTTGTCCTCTGACCTCTATAAGCATGAAGTGGCACTCATAGGCCCCCACGGACACAATAATAATAATAATAATAATAATAATAATAATAATAATAATAATAAACTGTAACACACTGATTAGACAAGAATGTAAGAAGCCAATCTACACTGTAGTTACATAATGTTCTATGATAGTTATCTAACTTGTCTTCAGAAAGCAAATAAAAAGAATTAGTTTGAGGGAAAAAAAAAGAATTAGTTTGAGAAACAAATGAATCATGTTCCAAAGAAGTGCCAACTCTAGCCAGCTTGCAGTATTCTCATTAATAAAGATTTTTAAATATTTTATTCATTATTTTTATTTTATGTGTATGAGTGTATTACTTGCATGTATGCAAGTGCACCCGTGTCATGCAATGCCTGCAGAGGTCAGAAGATGTCAGATCCCCTGAATCTGGAGTTAGGACAGTTGTCAGCTGCCATATGGGGGCTAGGAATTGAACCCAAGTCTTCTGCAAAAGCAACCAGTGCTCTTAACTGCTGAACCATCTCTCCAGCCCTAATAAACATTTTTCTTAAAAACCTGTATCACAAATAAATACTGGGTACCTACTGCAGGTGAACTACTCTCGTATCACCCTGAGGTTTAGTGGGGGAAAAGAGAAACATCTGCAGATAGAATTCACATTCCAAACCTGACGTGGTAGCCCACATCCCCAAACTAGGGAGGCAGAGGCAGGTAGATCTCTGTGATCAAGGCCAACCTGGTCTCTATAGCAAGTACCAGGTCAACTGTAGCTACAGGGGTACCCTGTCTCAAAAAGACCAAAAAAAGGAAATTCACATTCCAGCCCCAAATGCAGTTGTGCACACCTGTAATCCCAGCACTTGGGAGGTGGAAGCAGCAGGATCAGAAGTTCAAGATCACCCTAGCTACACAGTGAGTGTCAGAACAGCCTGGGCTACATGAAATCCTAAATTTAAAAAATATTTTAATTTTTTAAAAAGCAATCAAAGGTCGCTGAGGGAGGGAGAAATCAGTTTACTCCAGGGAGGAACTCCCTGATGAGTTATCTAACCCCAAGTGGTCAGCCATAAACACAGGTACACAGAACACCTCTAAATGGGCTCAGTACATTATATACATTTCTGTATATGTAACAATATTAATCAAGGAAGAAGTCACAAGTTGAGAAGGAATGGGGGCATGGGAGGAGTTGGAGGGGGGAGAAGGCAAAGATAAGATGATATAAATTACAGTGCTCATGCACAAAATTGTCAAAAATAAATCTTTTTAAAGAATTATTTTAAAAAATTAAGAATCCAAAACATAAACCTCTCCCTCTTCCCTCCAAAAATGGTTTGTTCTAACTGTAACTTTTTCATGTAACTGACAGAACTGGGTCAATTAGTAAGAATGAAGAACGTGAGAACATGGTCATATTTTATTTGCATCTGTATGGTTAATGTAATCATTTATCCAATGTCGAAATTTAAAAAAAAAAAAAAAGAGCTGGGCATGGTGGCACACGCCTTTAATCCCAGCACTCGGGAGGCAGAGGCAGGTGGATCTCTATGAGTTCAAGGCCAGCCTGGTCTATATAGTGAGTTCCAGGACAGCTGGGGCTACAGGGAGACCCTGTCTCAAAAAGACCAAAAAAAAAAAAAAGCACTTTGGGAAATGGAGCTTCCATAGGAATCAGCACACCTAATCAAGGTTTCTCAAAGTTCCTTCCTGGGTCCTCCAACTCTTTCTTTTTAATGCCAGGTACTGAGCTAGACCCTGAGAAGACAGAAATAAGATAGGCTAGCCCAGTCTACCAAAAGAGAAGGCAAAGTGTTTAATTACGAATACACAAACTTACAATTGATGATTAACAGCCGGCGAGGAGACTTCTGAGTGCCCCAGAGGATGCAGTTGACGACTTGGTTCCCAGAGGAAGTGATATTTGGTTTGGTATCTGAGGAATGCTTAGGAGTTAAGAGAGGAGGGTAGAGCTTTGGCCTGAAGATGATCCAGGAAATAAGACAGGATTTTCAGGACAAAGAAAAAAAGCTTGAAGCCTGGAGAACCAGCTTAGGAAGGACCTTCAGAATGACTGGGGACAAGTATTTTGGTCTTAGTCCCAAGAGAACATGAAACCCCTGACCAGTTCTAAGCACATGACACACTGAGCCTGCTCTTCTCCATGAGTGCTCTTCTTACTCTTCAAGGCATCAGAGCTCAGTTCAAAGACCACTCTCATGCTGCCTGAGCACTTTAGGTCATTCATGATATTGCCCAACTTAAAGGAAACAAAAAAGAGGGGCCTGGGGTGACGGCTCAGTTGTTAGAGTGTCAGCCGTTCAGGCATGAAGACCAGAGTTTGGATCTCCAGCACTCACATAAAAAGCCACTTTTGGGCTAGAGAGATGGCTCAGCAGTTAAAAGCACTGGCTGCTTTTGCAGGGGAACCCAGGTTTCTTTCCCAGCACAGGCAAGGTGGCTAACAACCAGCCATCCATAACTCTAGTTCCAGAGGATCTCACACCCTCTTCTGAAATTCTGTGGGCATTATACGCATGCAGACAAAACTCATACACACAAAATCCTTTTTTTTTTTTAAGCAAGCAAAAGAAAAAAATATTCAAGTTGAACTCTGCATTAATGGAGAGACAAGTAGTTTGAATAAAAAAGTTTAAACAAGTGACAACCACTTAAATATCAGTGAGAAATATCATTTAGAGAAAGAAATTTACAGCTGTTTCCTACAATTTTTCTCTCTATATGTCGTGTGTGTCGTGTGTGTAACTTAACTCGTTTAAGTTACAGACCTATTAACACTTAAAGGTCAAAGACAAAAACTTAACTCCATCCTGGTATTTAAAAACAAAACACGTAAAAAAAAAAAAAAAAAAAAAAAAAAAAAAAAAAAAAAAACACGTGCTTGGTTAAAGGTTTTGGCCCACACAGATTCTGATCTCTAGTACGCTATCCTACCTTCCACACACTTTTTCCCCCTAAATCAGCAAAACACTGACTTCCTGAGTGTATTTCTGATGTCACTTTTCAAAGAATACAATGACTTCTAATTCTTAACTTTCTTTATTGACTAGCTTGAGAGATGCCACATGATTTGGGGGGACATCAAGCTAGCACCGATCGATGTTCTAAAGGGCTGCCAATCCTCCGGATGGCTGAGGACAACTTTTCCGCTATCCCCTACAAACTCCGTGGGACCCTCCCCCGGCCGGCGTCTCAGCCTGGACAGTCAAGACCAGGCCGGGCCCACAGAGCCAGGTGGGACCCTCCCCCGGCCGGCGTCTCAGCCTGGACAGTCAAGACCAGGCCCAGGCCGGGCCCACAGAGCCGGAGCGGCGCCGCCACGGCTGCCCCCTTTCTCGGGCTGGGGTGGATGGACCCAGACGGGAAATGAGGAAGAGAGCGGAAGCCAGGGCTTACCTGCGGCCCGAGGGCGGCGGCGGAAGCCTCGCAGAAGGCTGGACAGCAGCAGCCGGGGGGAGGCTCGGGGCTGAAAGATGTCGGGTGCAGACCCCTCAACACAACCCGTCCCACAGCAGAGGAAGATAAAGCGCCCTCCACCCCCAACCTCCCAGCCCTGCGGCTGCGTCACGCGCACGGCCTGGGCTCGGGATGCCATTGGTGGTCCCCGCGGGCGCCAGGCCCCGCCCACCGCCACGCCCTCCGGGCCGCGCGGGTACCCGCCGGGAGCAGAGGCTAGCCTCGGCCGCCTAAGGCAGCTGATAACTGTCAGGGCACAGCAGGTTGCTTCTGTCCCCACCCCAGCCCTCGAGTGTGTGCGGCAGAGAGCGGACAGAGCTAACTTCCTACGAGTCCGAAAAGGCAGCCTGCGTGGGAGCATGGGACCAGGGGAGTCTGGCGCCAACGTTGCGGTTGAAACTGACCAATAAGGAACCAGACAGAGTGGTGGCTGAAAGCCTTTGTCATAAGTCGCTTTGTGGTCTAAATTATACTTGACGGTGTCCTTCAGCGACATCCAAGCTAGATAAGACAGAGATGAGTCACGTGAAGTAATGGGACAGTCAAGTCATTTAAAAAGCGTCCTTGGAACTAAATAAAGAAAAATTGATACAGAGATTTAGAACATAGATTAGATACAACAGTTAAGGGCTTAGACTTCACAAACGCACCGTTATAGGTGAATTTAGAGGAAAGGTGGGTGAAAGACAAAGCTGAAACACAGACTGAAGAATCGCAGTCTGCCAGCGAAAAAAACAACAAAAAAATCAGCTAAACTGACCTCGCTAATCACTCAGTCCCTGAGCTGCCAAGTTGGCCATACTTAAGGTCGGATGTCCTAAACAAACGCCTCAGGCTTATCCGAACTCACTGCTCTATAGACCTTTCAACCACTGGTGGCCCCATCTATGGCAGACAGCACTGTTCACCCAAAGAACTGGCCCCAGCGTTGGACTGGGTCTCATCGACAGACCTGCCCAGTTTTGCCTCCTTTGAGACCAACTGTGATTAATACTCTTGTCAACCACCAGGCGATAGGATCTGATAGGATCTGATAGAGCTCAACTGCTTTTGTGCTTCTCTCCACCTGTTCCACCAGTTAAAAAGTAGTAGGAGCTCAAGGACTCACTTCTGTAGGGACTCTGGTGGCCACCTCATATACACACCAAAGGGGAAGGAAATAGTAAAACAAGCCAATTGCAGATAGAAATGTTAAGAAAAAAATGGTCAAGGAAAGATGTGAAATAATGTCACAAATAATTTTAAAAGGTTCTTGAGACTTCATAAAAAGAACAATGCCAGCTGGCTGTGGTGATGCACACCTTTAATCCCAGCACTTGGGATGCAGAGGCAGGCAGATCTCTGTGAGATACATAGGGGGTTCCATACCAGCTGAGGCTGCAAGAGAGACCCTGTCTCAAAAAGACAAAGAAGAAGAGGAAGAAGAGGAGGGGGGGAGGAGGGGGGGGAGGAGGAGGAGGAGGACGAGGAGGAGGAGGAAAGAAGAAGAAGGAGAAAAGAAAACAATGCCAAGAATTTTAGGGCATAAATTACATATAAGTGTTAACCAACCACTTAGATCTTGTAAAGACAAAGGCATAGGTGATTTTCTGAGGTGATCTAAGCTGTTCTTAAATGAGGAGTCAGCCCTGCCAATCATGTGGAGGAAGAACATTCTAGACAGAGGGCAATGAGTGTGAAGGACCTGATGCTGAACTGCTTTGGCTGGTTTGATGAACAGGAGGGCTGGAACACACCGGGAAGACAGGGTGACACAGAGATGGAGTGTTGTTCAGGAGCCTAATTGTGTTGTTTGCATTATGTTGTTTTTAAATGCAAAGAAAAGATGATAAAGGGTTCTAGGGAACAAGGAAAAACAAGAATAAAAAGTTATTGGGCAAGTTATGCGATAGATACTAGTACTGGATTAGGCCAGTTGCTGTGGAAATAGAAGATGAAAGATTTCAGGATATTTCCCTGAGGTGCAGATGTGAAGAAAGGTAGGCACAAGGTAACTCCAGGTCATTTCCTTGAGAAACTAGGATAGGGATATCATCTAGTGCAAAGGTGAAGACTGTATAACATATCTGGAGAAACTCCAAAAGCCTCTAACCAGAATCCAAATGTCTTCCACCACCATTGACCTGAAAAACCTCACATCACCTAATCCTGGGATCAAGCCTTAGTTAAATGCTTCTGATTTCATCATATTCCAAAAACTGCACGCACAGAACTTCTAACTAGTTGCTAGGGATATAAAGATTATTAAGATTGTCTGATTAAGATTGTTGGGCCAGTGGCACACGCCTTTAATCCCAGCACTTGGCAGGGAGAGGCAGGCAGATCTTTGTGAGTTCAAGGCCAGCCTGGTATACATGGTGAGTTCCAGGACAGCTGGGGCTATAAAAAACAAAAAACTAAAACCAAAAAATAAAAAAGATTTTCTATTGGTAAGATAGATAAGTAAGCCCATTTGAAAACAATGGGATAAATGTTACAATAAAGGCCAGGCGTGGTGGCGCACGCCTTTAATCCCAGCACTCGGGAGGCAGAGGCAGACAGATCTCTGTGAGTTTGAGGCCAGCCTGGTCTCCATGGTGAATCCAGGACAGCTGGGGCTACAGGGAGATCCTCTCTCAAAAAGACCAAAAAAAAAAAATGCTACAATAAAAAGAAATTTAAGGCAGTGCCTAATAGGTCTATTGTGAGTATTTAATGAGTGAATGTTTTTAAAGCTTCCCATAAAGACCTTGGCTTCTAGAATTCAATAATTCGAGCTTCAGTAATTGTTGCTGCTGATGTTACTGTCTTCTGGATGTAGTGGGATCAGAGGGCCTGGAGTAGAAGGAAGGGAGAGTTGGAGGGAGGCTATCAGAGCTCAGTTTTCTAACTAGTGAAATGGTTGTCAGAGAAGGGAGGAGGAATTTTCAAGATAAAGGAAAAACAAGATCAAAGATCATTAGACCAAAAAAAAAAAGAAGTCAGATCCATGAAACATGAAGGTAGCTGGGTACCCTTAAATATAGGATAGTTCCTGAGAAGCGGCAAGAAGTAAGGCTGAATTTGTAAGCCAGTGTGTCTGAAACATTCTGATTCAGACTCTCACAGACAGGGAGGAGCCAGTGAAGGACATTAAGCAAGAGGGAGTCATGATTTAAGAGACCTTACTGAAGAAAGATGCAACTGGAGGTGGGTAGATTAATTGGAAAGGTGATGTGTCATATAGATGAGAAAGGATAAAGAGCTAAACTAAGACAATAGCCAAGTAGGATAGAAAGAAGGGGAAGAAGGCTGAAGCAGTAGAGGACTGGGGATGCAGCTCAGATGGTAGAATGTTTGCCTAGTATACACAGAGTCCTGGGTTTGGTCCCCAACACAGCAGAAACCAGGCTGGGTGGCTGGCGTTCAATTGTAATCCCAGCACTGGAGAGGTAGAGACAGGAAGATCAGAAACTCAGTGTCATCTTCCATAACATAATGAGTTTGAGTCCAGCCTGGGCTACTTGGGACTCTGCCTCAAAGAAAAGGGGGAGGGTTTGAGACATGTTTAAAAGGACAGAATAAAATAGTAATAAAATAGTATTTAGGTTGTGGGAACTAAAGATGTCTTTGGGATTTGACAGCAGGCAGGGTGATTGGAATCAGTACTGATGGGATGTAAGAGTTTACATCCTGGAGAAGAAGCAAGAATAAGCTTTAGGAGTTAATGCTTAAGCCACATTACTCCACTCCTACTGGGACATGAAAGAACTGATCAAGAAGCAGTTAAGTTTTGTTTTATAACAAAATAGCTTTCATGTTTTCTCTGGTCATGTCAATAATGCATACTACAGCAGAAAATAAAGTCAAATACAAAAAAGTACAGTGGCTAGGGATTTGGCTGTGTGGGAGAGTGCTCGCCTGACAGGCAAAGGACCCTGGGTTCAGTCCCCAGCACCAGAAAGAAAAAAAAGTACAAATATAACAGTCATATGGGGAGGGGGGGTGAAGAGATGGCTCAGCAGCTAAGAGCCCTAGTTGCCTTTGCAGAGGACCCAGGTTCAATTCCTAACACCCACACAGCAGCTAACTGTAGCTAACTCCAATTCCAGGAGATCCAATGCCCTCTCTGACCTTCATAGACATTGCATGACATGGGTGCACTTACATACTTGCAGGCAATACGCTTATATACATAAAATATAAACATAAATAGTCATTTGGCATTTTATTTAGAGATGCAATTAAACTTTGATGTGAAGGAAGAGAGCAAAGGCACTGAGCCCCTCTGTCTGAAGGCACTGGGTTCTACAGGAAAGCCAACAAAGGAAATGAGACTTTTAAAATTATGAATATTGGCTGGGCGTGGTGGCACATGCCTTTGATCCCAGCACTTGGGAGGCAGAGGCAGGTGGATCTCTGTGAGTTCAAGGCCAGCTTGGTCTACATAGTGAGTTCCAGGCCAGCCGGGGCTACAGGGAAACCCTGTCTCAAAAAGACAAAAAAAACCAAAAACTTGAATATTGGTCAGGCATGACGGCACACCCCTTTGACCCTAGCACCCAGGAGGCAGAGACAGGAAGATCTCCATGACTTCAAGGCCAGCCTGATCTATATAGTGTGTTCCAGGCCAACCAGGAATGGGGAACCCTGCCTCAAAAATCTGAGCATCTTAGCTGTTCAGAGGTCTACAGCTCCCTTAATGACACCAAATAGGCAATAAATCTTTATCACAATATAAGCATGTCACCATTGCCACTCTGGCATACAAAGAATAGATTCATTAAGAATGAGGTAAGGGCCAGGTGTGGTGCTACACATCTGTAATCTCAGCAATCAGAAGCCTAAGGCTAGAGGATTGCCATAAATTTGAGGCCAGACTTAATAATGAGTTCCAGGTCAACCTGGGCTACAGAGTGAGAACCAGTCTCAAAATAACCAAAAAAGAAAGAAAGAAAGGAGAGAAAGAAAGAAAGAAAGAAGAGAGAGGAAAGAAAGAAAGAAAGAAAGAAAGAAAGAAAGAAAGAAAGAAAGAAGGAGGGAGGGAGGGAAGGAGGGAGGGAGGGAGGAAAGATATCAACATAAATGTGATTGTCCCTGAAAACTCTTAGAGAGATGGAATTCTGTTGTGTTTATTATGCTTTCTAGAAGCACCCAGCAAAATATGTGTCACCTGATTAATGGACTGGATGAATGAGCTAGGTGTGGTAGCTCATACCTGTAATGCCAGCACTCCG